TAGGCTGGACTTGAGCTCACTTTGTAACCCAGGCTGGTCTCAAACTCACAACATCCTCCTGCCTCAGCCTCCTGAGTGCAGGGATTATAGCTGTGTGCCACCATGCCCAGTGCTTTTGTTTCTTTAATAATGGGAACTGAGCCCAGGGACTTTGCACTAAACCACCTCCTTAGCCCTTTTTAAAATTTTGAGACAGAGTCTTGTTAAGTGACTACATGCCCAGACCAGATTGGAACTTGTAATCTTCCTGCCTCAGCCTCCCATAGTGCCCAGAATCTAGGAAATGCTTACCTAGATGTGTGCCACCATTACTGGCTCTCTGGTTTTACATATGTTTAAAAGTTTCCACAATAAGAATTTAAAAGTTTTAGATACAGTAATTCCTAATTCCCTTTGTAGCCACAGGTTCCATATCGGTGGATTCAACCAACCTTGGAAGAAAAATATTTGGAATAAAATTGTATGTACTAAACATGTACAGACTTTTTTTCTTATTATTCCCTAAATAACACAATATAACAGCTATTTACATAGGATTTCATTATGTTAGGTACTATGAGTCATTCACAGGTGATTTGAAAGACACAGGGGGTGACAGGTGTACCTCAGTGACAGAGCACTGGTCTAGCACATGCAAGGGCCTGGGTTCAACTTCTAGCACTGCCAAAAAAAGAAGGAAAAAAAAAGGAAAAAAGTGTACAAATAACTCTATGCAAATAGCACAGTCTTTTAGCCACGCATGGCAGGACACACCTGTAATCCCAGCACTGTGGAAGCTGAGGCAGGAGGATCGCTGTGAGTTCAAAACCAGCGAGGGCTCCCTAGTGGGTTCAAAATCAGCCTGAACTGCATAGTGAGATCCTGTTTTTAAAAATAAAAAAATAAATGGATGGGTGTGACGGCACACGCCTACAATCCTGGCACTTGGGAGGCTGAAGCATAAGGATTGCCTTGAGTTCCAGGCCAGCCTGGGCTACATAGTGAGTCCCTGCCTCAAAAAAATACAAAATAAAAATAATAAATCAATGGATGGGTGGCGAGGCAAAGACGGCAATATTCCTACAAGGAATGTGATTTCAGCCTTAGCAGGGAAGGGTGTTCAGTGTTGGGATGGAGCCCGGGTCTTCTACACGCCAGGGAAGTGCTCTGTCACTAAGCTACACGCAGCCCAAGTCAACTTGGTATTACGTGTATTTTGCCATCATCATAAAAGAGTTAAGAATAGGACCTGGGGCTGGGGATGTAGCCCAGGGTTAAAGCATTTGCCTGACTTGTTCGAAGCCCTAGGTTCCATTCCCAGGGCTGAGAAACGAAAACACGAAAATGAAGCCCTGGCTACAGCAAGACGTGCTTATTAAATCACTCAGCGTGATTACAACAGCATCCCGGCCCGAGGCACCCCAGGGAACCGGAAGCTGGCCAGTTCCTGTCGCAGACCTGGCAAAAGCGGGGGCTCCAGAAGCATCTGAGGAGCTTTTGACTGCTTGAAACCTTTCAGTGGCCCACTGCCCCACCGCATGCCACACCCTGTCCTGCCAACCCGGCATCTGCCCTCCCTGGTCAGGGTGCACGGTGCCTTGGCGCTAGCACCCCCGGATGTCCCCTCCCACGGTCGGCTTTGGCTTGGGGTCCTGGTCAGTGCTGGCGCAGGGCACACTAGGGCTGAAAGTCTGGCGGCTGGAGCACTTTTCCAGGACAGCTCTGCGACCGTCCGTCCCCCAGGCAGGGGGGCCAGAACCTGGCCTCGACAGGAAGCGGGTCCCCTCGGTATCCAGGGCAGGGGTGGCCCCACCATCCCACCACAGGTCCCCCTCAAGCCTCAGAAGACCTGGGCCGGACGGGCATCCCGGGAGAGCCGCAGAGAGGCTACCCGAGCCGCCCCCAGCCAAGGCTGTCCTGGGGAGCTCAGATCTCGAGGGCTTAGGCCCGGGCGATCAAGCCCTGTCCCCGCTTAAGGCTGGGCTCAAGCTGCGCTCCCTGCTCCCCGGGAACCCGTGTCCACACCCTAGGTCCTTGGCAGGCCAGGCGCTGGGACCAACAGGTCACCAGGGCTCAGCCGGCCTGGGGCGGGGGACACGCGGGCGGGGCGGAGAGAAAGAAGACAGAGGCGCGCGCAGGTTCCGTACAGGAAGCCGCTGATACACTTTAGTAACGGGCAACAGTGCAGGGGCCACAGGGAGAATGAGAGATCGAGAGCTGGGGTTCGCGTCATCTTACAAAGTGTATAAAGAATCTGTGTTTCTCTACAATAACAAAAACCAAAGGCTACAAGAGCGGTTGTATATACAAAACACGGAGATATTGCTTCACTTGCGAACAGGTTCCTGACCAGACGGGGCGACAAGACTGGGGGCGCTGCGTGCGGGGC